CCATTTCTGCACTGGATGGGCCCATATGCTGACTTGTCTCTAATTCCCATAAGAGGCACGATTTGCTATATTTGATACAGGAGGAAGCTGGCACTCAGAAAGGTGGAGTCACTTGCTTGAGGTCACCTAGCTGGTTGACAGGAGGGCCCAGATCCAAACCCAGGTCTGCACAACTCCAGGGGCCGTCCCTCTGGGGAGGGTCCATCTATTCCCAGCAGCATCAGGAGCATCCCGTCAGCAGGTTATGGAGCACTAACTATGTACAGGGCGCGATCTAGAGCTTATGCTATGAAGGACTGAGGCTGGACGCTCATGACAGAGGAAGAACTTGGGGCTCCCCAAAGGGGTATCATTTACCCAAGGTCAAGGGCTTGCCAGGTGGGAGGCGAAATCTGAACCAAATCGTAACCCGCTGCGATCCATATGATGATGGGCCTGCAACCCTCTCTCGAGGAGGCAGAGCTGGGCTGGTGCCCACGGGGTCAGGGCATAAGGCAGAGGGTAAAGACTTATGGAAGTCTGCAGAGAGGAGGTGGTGGCTGGGCCGAGGCAGGGCCAGGACTGTGAGGGACATCTGTGTCTTAGAACAAGCCCACGGCCTCCATCTCAGAAAGGCTGGGCCCCTCTCAGACAGGATATCCTGTCTCCTCTGCTGGGTATCCTCAGCTTCTCCAGGGTCCTGCTTTTCAAACGTGTCCTCTGGTGCCCACTGGTCCAGGGCCAGCCCTGCCTTCCAGGCCTCTCAGCTGTTCCTGCCGCGTCTCCCCACCCATCTCATTGCCCCAGCAGATTCAATTAACCAACTTGATGCTCCAGCTGCAGAGAGCCAAGTAATTATGGAAAACAGACCAGGTGCCTTGGAACTTGCTCTCACTGTGGGGCCTGGGAGGCCTCCAAACAGACAGCAAGCTGGGAGGGAGGCAGAGCCATCTAGGCCAAGGCTGGCCAGCCCAGCCTGCATAAGAGAGCTATCTGGCCAGCTCTGACAAATACAGATGCTCCCCAAAGAGCAAAACAAAAGCAGAGACCCAGGCTGGTTCTGTTACTATGGGCTGGGGCTTGGTCATCAGGAATTTTTAAAAGTCTTTGTCCGGGGCTGGGGATGTGGCTCAAGCGGTAGCGCACTCGCCTAGCGTGCGTGCTGCCCGGGTTCGATCCTCAGTACCACATACAAATGAAGATGTTGTGTCCGCCGAGAACTAAGAAAAAATAAATAAATATTAAAAATAAATAAATAAATAAAAGTCTTTGTCCCATTTTCTGTTGCTATAACGAAATACCTGAGGCTGGGGAATTTATTAAGAAGAAAGGTTCATTTGGCTCCTAGCTGGGGTTTTTTTTTTTGGATCTTCCCAAACTGAAACTGTGTACTCAATAAGCAGTAACTCCCTATGCCTCCCCTCCCATTCCCTAAGGACCTTCATTCTATTCTCTACGATTGTGACTACTCTGCGTACTTCAAATAGATGAAATCATGCACTGTGAGTCCTTTAATGACTGCCCATCTTCAATGTTTATCCATGTTGGGGCAGGTGACGGATTTTCCTTCTTTTTTAAGGCTGAATAATATTCCACTGTATGGACAGACCACAGTTTCTTTATCCATTCATTCCTGCTTGGACACTTGGGTATTTTGCCCCATTGAGTTATTGTGAATAATGCTGCTGTGAACATTGGTGTACAAATATCTGTCCGTGCTTTGAATTCCTTTGCACATATACCTAGACACAGAATCGCTACATCATATGACAATTCCATTTCTAATATTTTGAAGTATCGCCATTCAGTTTCTTTCTTTTCTCCTTTTCCTTCCTTCCCTCCCTCCCTCCCTTTCTTCCCTCCAAAGTGGCCCAAAGACCTCCGGGGCCAGCTCCACTTTCCTTGGGTTCCGTAAACCTTCCTGCATTTCCCAGAAGTACTCTGGACCACACGTTGCTATCTCAGGAGTCAAAAAGTAAAGTAAATACTCCCCTTTCTTTTCTTTTCTGTCTTCCTTTAAACAAAACAAAACAACCCTCAGTTGCAGAAATCACCTAATTGAAAGTTGCAGGGGAAGAACCCTCCTCCACACAGGGAAGGGAACTATTCAGAAAGCCCAGCCCAGCAGCTAATTGCGGGTTTGTATTGGGGATTCTTGGCAAATGCTTAAATTGCAGATCAACCTGACTTTTGTGATGAAGTGTTTGGAAACACACAAGGGGGCTTGGTTTGAGATCCTCAGGCTGGAGGTGACAGCGCTGCTTTCTCTGCTGACAAATAAAGCAAGTGAGAATCTTGTGGATTTGCATTCAGGAGAGCAGCAGCTTTGCCTGGATTTCTACAGGCTGCACCCCCATTTCCTCTACTATCCCAGCCAGTGGCCTGTATATAAAATGCCAGCCAGCCGTGATTCCTACTCACACTGTGCCTCCAAACCCTGACTGAACATCGGAAATATCTGGGTGCCTTAAAAACACATTTACATATGTCGGGCACAGTGGTGCACACCTGTCATCCCAGCAGCTCTGGAGGCTGAGGCAGGAGGATGGCGAGTTCAGAGCCAGCCTCGGCAACTTAGTGAGGCCCTGAGCAACTCAGTGAGACTCTGTCCCTCAGGAGGCTGAGGCAGGAGGACTGCAAAGCCAGCCTCAGCAACTTAGTGAGGCCCTGTTTCAAAATAAAATATAAAAAAGGACCAGGATGTGGCTCGGTGGTTAAGCGCCCCTGAGTTCAATCTCCAGTTCCCCGCAAAAAAGTAGTGAGAGTGCTCACTCTGTGCTAGGGACAGCGCCCTGCACTGTGTGTGTGCTGATCCTGTGGATCTACCTAGTGATCCTTAGAGGGGTCCTTGTTATTCCCGTTTCACAGATGAGAAAAACCTAAGCACACAGACTGGCCAAGGGCCACCAAGGTGACTGAGTGGCAAAGTTGGGACCCAGGCTGGCTCTCCGGCCTGTGCACTTAACCCCTGGCCTTCTGGTCCTTGGTCCTTGTACACCTTTCTGTCATGTCACTCAATGTAACAAGCATGTGCTGCTTTTGTAGGAAAATTTTAGGTGAAATATGGAAGTATCGGGGCTCCCAGGGCCCTCTGAGGTCCCCTCTTTGTCCCAAGCAGGCCACGGGAAGTCTTTTATTCCAGTCCAGGTTGGAAATAGATATTCACGCCTTGATCTGCGTTTTGGTTCAACCTCACTCCCTCGGCCTGCTCGCCTGCCACTCAGGGACTGGACAGTCACTGATCTGTCTGGGCCTGACACCTTGGAGGGGGCGGCCCTGGTCTGTAACAGCAGCTGTCTCAGGCTGCACCAGTGAGGATCGTGAGATCTGCACAGGGCAGGCCACAGGCCCTGAGAAGGTCCAGAATCAAGAGGCCCATGGGGCGTCTCCGAGAATGGACACGGGCAATATAGGAAGTGTAACCAGCTCGTGCAGAGGGAGCCTTGCACGAGGGTTCTTCAGCCCTGAGCTCGTGGGAGACCTGGGGCCAGGGATTCTAGACTAGATCTAAGCAGAGAGCTTCCATTTGCCCCAGAGCAGGATTCCTCAAGGGGTGACATCAGGTCCCCAATACCAGCCCTACCAGGTGCTGGAGGAAACGCAGACCTTTGACCTGTCGAGCTGGCAAGACAGAGCTTGAGGGCTTGGGTGGGCTGCTAGCCTGAGTCACTAGACCTGTAACCTGAGGATGATAATAGTGACTGACTGACAGGGCGGGTCATGGTGAATGTTATCCATGACCTAGGGACGTGATAAGCACACACGGAACGATGCTGTGACTTTCACTGAATATGACCTCATGTGTGCGCGGCTTCTGAGACAGCTCCGGCGGATCCCTACCTCACACCATTTCTACCCTTGTGAAATCCCTTCCTCCTGAATGTGGGCTGGACCCAGTGAGTCGCTCCAATGAATAGAACCGGGCGAGAGTGACAGTATGTTACTTCCAGTATCAGATGACAAAAGATTCCTCCTTTCCCTCTGTCGCTCCTTCACTTGACCACCACAATGGAAGCCATCTGCCATGCCGTGAACTGCCCCATGGAGCAGTCCACACCGCAAGGAATCGAGGAAGATCACTGGCCAACCACCGGGAAGGGATTGAGACCCCCAGTCCAACAGCCTGCAGGGAACTGAGTCCTGCCATCAACTACGAGAGAGAGCGCTCGAGCACAGACCCTCACGATGAATCCAACCACACACACGATTATGGTGCACCAATAATAAATAAACAAATAACAACAATAAAAAAGAAAACAGAGCTTCCCGGGTTGGGCCTTCAGATGAGCCTGCAGCCCCAGCCAACTCCCTGACTGCCGCCTTGTCAGAGATGCTCAGTCAGAGCCACTCAGCAAGACTCTGACTAAGCTCCCGAGCACAGGAACTGTGATTGTTGATGTAAGCTACAGTGTGACTACTGCACCCTGGAAACAAGACTAAATCACACCCTGGAAAAAATCAGACTGAACTCTACAGGACAGTGGCAGATGATGCCTTTACTTAAACATTCTATCCTCCGGGAATGCTTTCAAAATCCTCCTCTCTGAATTATTGACTCTATTTTCTTATACGTACCCCTATTAGACTAAGGAACTTGAATCATCATCATCATCATCATCAAAGATTCCACACAGTGAGCACTTACTATGTACCAGGTACTGTTCTGTGGTCATTAGCTACTTACTCATCACAAGAATCTTACGATACAAGCACCATTACTGTCCCCAGTGAGAAAATGGAAGCTCAGAGGAGTCAAGTGACTGGTCAAAGATCTGAGTTATCATGTGGCAGTTCTAGGAAATCTAGCTCTGGAGTCAGATTCATAACACAGAACAATTGTGTTACACGGCTCCACGGTCTTGCCCAAGTTCACAGACGGTCAGTGGATTCACACTCAGCTGGCTGAACATCCGACACGACGTTCCTAAACACAACTCGCTCCAGATGCCTTTCGACTCTGGGACAGGAAGGGGTGGGACGGGCCTCACCTGGGCTTCCTCGAGGTCTAGGAGGCCACCTACCTGTGAACACGAGGCTGGCATTTTCCAGTTCTTCTTGGGGAACCTTGAAGCTAAAGGACTCATTGTAGAAAGGGTCAATGGTGCCTCTTAAGAAGGATGTCTTCTTGGTTTTCACGAGCTTGAGTCCGTGCACCAGCTGGATTTTCACAAATGGGTCTGAGATTTGGACACAGCACCAGAGAATGTTGAAGACCATGGAAACGAATCCACTCACCCCTCCACTAGGACCACCCCCTCCACCAGTCCAGACCTCTCTTTCATTGATTAATTTCCCATCCATCCATCCATCCATCCATCTCTTCTATCATCCACGCACCATTTCCCCATCCATTCCTTATCTGCTCATCCTTGTCCTTCTTCCTCAGGTATCTAACATTTACTAACTTCCCCCAGGTTTCAGTCACGGAGCTCATTTTAAGGTAAGAAAGCTGAGGACTCCACAGAACAAATGATGTGCCCAAGCTCAGACCAGTAGAGTTAAAACCAGGCTCAGAGGTTACCCTGGATCTTTGTCTGCTGACAAATTTATCACGCCAAGGAGCTCACAGCCCATCCACAGGAGAAAAGAGATTAACGAATTATAAATATCATCCTTCGATCATTTTATAGGGACTCTATGCACATTAACTAATTTAACACTTATTTAAGCTCTCAATGCAATGAGATGAATACTGTTATTACGCCAACTTTTGAGATGGAGACATCGAGGCATTTAGAGAAGTTAAAAAACTTCCCCCAAGACCACATCATCCGTATGCAGCGGAACTGAGATTTGGTTCCAGGAAGTTTGACTCCTGAACCTTTTTACTCATTCATCACACCGTCTCTCTCCCACTGGGATGAGTCTGAAACTCTCCAAACCTCACACCATTCCTTCCACCAGTTCCCTTGAAGTCCCCTGTTTTACAATGTGTCTTTTGAGCACGCAATGTGTCTTCTAGACTCGGTTGTCACCTTATTGCAAACATAATTTATTTTGTTTATTGCATTTAGAGAAAACACTGAACTTAAGAGGTGCCAGGGACTGTGGCTATTTTCACAAGAACACCTTTTGCTGTCATGGGAGAAGCTATATACAAATGTCCCAACACCTGTTCCAGTTCATTAAAGGTCATGTTTGAGTTGGTTTTGCTGTAGACACTTAACACGTAGTCCTTTAAATTAACACATAGCCCTTTCAAAGCTGGGGTGTATAAAGGTTTATGCTACACATGGAATGAGCTGGGGGTGAAAAAAGAAACAACCAGGCTGTGCCCACCATATGCTGGTGGATTGGAATACAAAGTCCTTACACATTACCGCCACCTAGAGCATGGTGTCTCTATTGCAGGCACAGTTTTGAGAAGGCGAGCAACCTCCTCGAGGCTTCGTGTGTTCAAAGACAATCTAGATTTTTCAGGAGTGATCACACCTGGTCACAGTCCACTCCTCAGTTCAAATAGGGCTCCCAAGATGGTATCAAGTACCTGCTTCATCCTAAGAGATGTTTGATCATTTATTTTCCTTCTTGAACTAGCATCCTAATTCTGAATGCTATCCACTCTCCCAAGGCCTTATCAAGAGAACACAGGATGCAGAAAAATCAGGTCCCCCAAACAAACACAGATGTCCCCTTAAAGAATTTGGGAGGGGGGACGGTAGATCTGAGTGTACCTGAGCCTTGGCTCACATCGGTCTGAAGAAGCTGCTTGGCTCGGATGATGTCCACATTCAGTCTCCCGGCACTCGGGAGGTAATTCAGAGACAGGAGCAGCTCCCCCAGCTCCACTTCATTCTGCAGAGAAAGAAAATGGTGAGAAAGTCACCTTTTTTTTCCTTTTCCTCTCTCATTCCTTTTGCACCCACCATGCAAGAGACGGATTCCAGCAGCTTCTAAATGAGTAGCTGTGGGTGGATCCGTTGACAGTGGGTGCCTGTCTCGTTGACTTCTTTTAGATTCTGCCTCCAATTATTTTCTCCAGTCCATCACAGAATGTTTTCTTCTGCCCTGAGAGCCCTTAACAGCAGCAACCACAATTTTAACAACAAAAGTTTGGATAATTTAAAAAATGCAAGATGTCACGTATTAGGCTGAGTGCTCTCTGTATGTCATAGCAAATTTAATCTTCATAATGAGTCCCCGAGGAGTTAGTTTATTTACTGACTGAACAGATGAAGAAACGGAGGCTCAGAGGGGTTAAGTAGCATGTCCAAGGCCACACAGCACGAAAGTGGTAGGACTGGCCTTCAGACCCAAGGAAGCTGCGGGACGGTGGGGCATAGGCTCAGGCTGCCATTTTGGCAGGGAAACCAACTCTCTCTGAGAGGTGAGGCTGGGGGACGGCCCCAAATGAAGGACTGAGGCCGGGGAGGCAGGGAGGGGCTCACCAAGCAGAGGGGACAGCGAGGGTCAGGGCTGGTGGCGGAGGAAGGAATGAACTCGGTGTGTTTAAGGGACAGAGGAAAGGCCAGGAAGAGCTGATGCGAGAGACGTCCATCAGAGCCAGAGCAAGCTGCCCAGCGCTGTCCCTCTAGGCCACCCCCAAGGCCACCCTCACAGGACTCAGGAGGAGGAGGAGAGGCCATCTCCTAGGCCCTCAGCACCTACAGGCCTTTCCTGGATGGACCGGGCGGCTCTCCTTCCTGGGCCCGACACCCCATCAGCAAGGCAGCTGCCCACGCGTCCCCAGGGTCTCTGGCAGCCACTGATCTCCTAGAAAGAGTCTCAGATCTTTCTAGCAAAGCCCTTTCCCTCCTCCTTCCCCCGGAGGACACAAGCTTCGCCCTTGCTGTCCCCACCCCGAGCACGGGATGGCGTGTCTTCTGGCCAAGCGTTGGCCTGGATCCTCTCTCTCCTGCGGGATGGGAGCCATCAATTTGCACAAGACCGATGTCTGGAGTCAGGGGACAGCTGGTGGAAGATAGAGAGGGCGCTCACTGAGCCCCGTCAGAGGGTCTGCTGATCCGCGAAACCAACATTCATTCCATAACCTACGTCGACAAGACGTGGCCCCCGGGCGAGCGCGGGGAACGTGGGAAGAGCCACAGTTCCAGAGGTGGCACCCCCATCAGAAAGGCCACAGCAAACAGATCAATAATTACACAAAAGCAGAAAGTGGCAGGTGCGGGCCAGGTTGTAACTCTGCTGGTGACAATGTGACACGGCGCGGCCACTGTGGTCAGCCACTGTGGCAGCTCCAGCAAGGGTTGCACACGGAGCTCCCACGCGGGCCAGCGAGTCCACTCACAGGTAACCCCCCCCCCAGAGCAGAAAACACGCAGCCGCACCAAAACCTGCTCCCCAACGTTCACCACAGCCCCAAGGGGGAGAGGCCCGGTGTCCACCATCGGGAAAAACAACTTATGGTCCATCCAGGTGACGGGTGCTCTTCAGATATGGCGAGGAACGGGGCGCCGGCAGATGCTACAATGTGGGTGAACCTCGAGGTCACGCTCAGTCCAAGATGCCAGACACAAAAGATCACATTTGGTAGGACTCCATCCAGACCCGCAAACCCACAGGGACAGGAAGCAGACTGAGCAGCTGCTGTGGCCTAGGAGCGGTGGGCAAAGCAGCGTGACTGCTTCACGGGCACAGGGTCTCCTTTGGTGATAGAATCTTCTGGAATTCGAGGTGATGGCGGCACACCATGGGGTGTGGACTCAATGTCGCTGAATCACATACTTTGAAATGGCTGAATTTATGTTTATATGAATTTCACCTCAATTAAAAAAAAATTATAGGGCTTATGTGTTAACGGGCTACAGGAACCAGACCCAGGAAGACTGAAGTACAGCCTATTCCCCAAAGGGGCGGAGACAGAAAGGGCTTCATGCAGAAGGAGGTACTTGGGCCAGGCCTTGAAAGGTACATAGGATTTGGTCAGGTTTATTCTATTGCTGAGAAATGTTACAGCAAAGGGCTTCCATGCGAATTCTGCTCCTGAACTTCCCAATCTCACCACAAAAAGCCCCAAGTGACTTGTATATATCCAACGATGCTTAATAACTTAAGATTTTTAAGATGAATTAGGAATCTCCTTACAAATAACATCACCCCTCTTTGCATTCTCGGTTTGTGTGGGTAAGTGGGAAAGAATGCTGGTTTCCCCTTAGGCAGAACAGGTGTGTGCTCTGGACCCCCCAGAAGCAGGTGAGTTCCTCCACCTCCACTTCAAATAACAGAAATATATTTGGGAGGGAAAGGAGTGGATATTTCAGTAATAACAATGAAGGAATCATTGAGACACGAGGACCTTGCTGAGATTGACAGTTGAGAACTGTTACTATTTTGAATGGCATAAGGCAGGAATTGGGGCCTCAAGGTCTTTATTTTAACCCAGACCTGGAGAAAGTGCAGAGTCCCCCACTTTAACATCTGCCCCAGAAGGCACAGCACACAAGATCAGCAGCAGCCCACGTGGGCATCAGAAACTGTAGCTCATGCCTAGCACGCTTGAGGCCCTGGGTTCCTTCCCCAGCACCTTAGAAACAAAACCAAAAGCCAAAACCAACTGCAGTTCTAAAAACCAGAAGGCAAAAATGTCCCCCAAAGTTTCCTGGAGCCAGAGTCTTTTTAATTCCTCTTCCCTTGCGGAAGTATCTGATACTACATTTAAAAGCTGACCAGTAGCCAGTGGATAAAGAACTTCAAATATGGGAACCGAAAGCAGGGCCACCTCATCCAGAAGCTCCCTAACCCATGGCCCCCAAGACAGATCGTGGAGTTAATGGTGCCCTTTGCAGAGGCCCGTAAAATACTGGTGGATTAAAACTGCACCAACTTGGGGTGATTTTGCCCTTTCCCCATCTTCTTCAGGGATGTTTGACAATGTCACCACAGTTTTGATGGCCACAACTTGGGATAAGAATGCCACTGGCATCTGGTCTGGTGGGAAGACGTCAAGGATACTGCTAAACATCCTACAAGGTGCAGACAGCTTCCTCTTGCCTCAATGAAGAATGATCTGACTGCAAATATTCGTAGTGCCCGGATTGAGAAATCCTGAACCAGACCCATGAATCCTGAGCTCCTTCAGGTTTCTCTCTTGGACACAACTCTGGCCAAGCGAATTGTTAACAGGAACCAAACTTGAACTCTTCTGCAAACAATTTCTGAAAAGACCCTTCCCTGCCTCAGTGGAACTTGTCCTGAACCTTCTTCAGACCCCAAGAGGCCAAAGCACCAGCTCCCAGCCAGAACCTGGAAATGCTGAGCTACGGTTCCCCTCCTTCCGCTTCCTTCCCATAGGATAATCCTCCAGGAAGTGGGCCTCGCCATCCCAAGGAGAGTGGATGCTTGTTCTGAAAGGATCTCGTTCCTGAAGTCCCCTTTCCCTTAACCAAACTTAGTACAATAATGTTGGATGCCGGAGCTGAAATAATTCAGTGGTACACTCCATAAAAGAAAACAGTACCATGCCTTTCGCTCTTCTCCCTCTTTAAAATCCTCCATCGCTCTTAAAATCTAGAGCTCTCGGCCTGGTCTGCAGCGGGATCCGCCCCCCTCGGCACTTCTGACACTTGCAAGGCGTCCTTCTTCACCGTGGAGGGCTGTCCTGTGCACTGTAGGACAGTAGGTCCCCAGCGTCCACCAGCTGGGAGCCAGTGGCATACCCTCCCCACTCCTGAGACAACCTCAAATGTCTCCGGGTATTGCAATGTCCCCTGAGGGCAAAATCACCTGGCTGAGAACTACCCATCAGAAGGACCTAAACGAGTTGGCAGAACCCATCCACCAACCACGTCTTCCTTCTGTTTTTTGAGAACACAAGATCACTCCAAGGCTTGCCTCTGCTGTTTCCTGGGAATCTCAGGCCGAATGTCACCTTCTCATCTAAGCTTTCGGTGGCCGTCCCACTACAAACAGCCCCTGTGTCTATCACATCACTCTGTCTTATTTCCTTCATGATACTTTGTTCTTTGCTGATATTTTCTTGCTCTCCCTAAAGGCCAGGACGGCGCCCATCTGCCTGCCACTGTAGATGATCCACCTTGTGATGGTTCGACTCATGATCTATTTCCACTTTACAGTGACATGAAAGGAATCGCCACTCAGTAGAAACCATCCTTTGACTTTCGATCTTTCCCTGGCCTAGTGATATGTGGTCTTGCAATGCTCGGGCTGTGGCAGTGAGCTCAGCTCCCAATCAGTCACACGATCAAAGGAGTGTGCTATGTTGCTGAGCTGGGATGTTTGGTAGGTTAGATGGTGCAATGGTCAGCTTTCCCTCACTGCAACAACATACCTGAGATAATCAACTTATAAAGAAGAAAGGTTTATTTTGATTCACAGTTTCAGAACTTTCAGTCCATGATCTGCTGGCTCCTTTGCTTTGGGGCTGTGGTGAGGCAGCACATCATGGTGGGAGTACATGGTGGAGCAAACCCATTATTCACTTCATGGCCAGGAGGTGAAGGAGAAGAAGAGGATGGGGTTAGGGTCTCATTCTCCCTTTCAACGGCACACCTCCAATGACCTGAAGACTTCCTAGGCCCCAGCTCTTAAAGGCTCTGCCATTTCCCAACAGTGCCACTCAGGGGAACAAGTCTTCATTACATGGACCCTTGGAGACACTTAAGATCCCAATTATAGAAGCAGAATAAATCCTTTTTTTTTTTTTTTTAAATCGGGATTGAACTCAGGGGTACTCGCTCACTGAGCCATGTTCAAAGCCCTATTTTATATTTTATTTAGAAGCAGGGTCTCACTGAGCTGCTTAGTGCCTCATTGTTGCTGAGGCTGGCTTTGAACTTGCGATCCTCCTGCCTCAGCCTCCCAAGCCACTGGGGTTG